TGGGCCGGCCCCCCTGCCATCTACTTCAGGCTGGCTCAGCAACTACTCCCATCTGCTTCTCCCACCCGTGCCCCCTCCCTCCAAAAATGTTTAATGCCACGATGGTGCGAGCTGGCGAGCGGAGCCTTTGGCTGGGTCCCCCTGTATTTATAGAGCGCGGGATGTTAACGAGCCGCACGTGTAATTATTAAACCAAGGATTCAATTACTCGTCATGTGATTTTGTAAATAGTTTTTTTTTTTTGGCTTTTTTTTTTTTCGGCTCCCCCCCCTCCGCCCCCGGTTCTTTCCGGAGTACAGACTGGCAGATGGAAAAGGCAGCTTTTCACCTCAACTGGAAATAAAAACCTTGCTAAATAACCCTCCTGTGTCCTGCTCTCAGAGGCCAGCCTGTGTCTGCCAGGGGAGGGCAGACAGCCCCCCAGGATGCCCATACTGGGCCTGGGTAATAGGGCTGTGCAGCGTGGGACCTCCAACCAGACTGTGGAGTTGTTCAGAGTTGACTCTGGCTGTGCCCCAGGGCCACGGGCAGAAGTTTCTCATTTTGGCCCTGGACCTGTGATGCTGGCATCCCCGAGAAGAGCTGATGGCTGCAGGGCCAGACTGGCTGGAAGGGGGCTCTGCAGAGATGTGCAAAGCCCTGCCGCGAGCGAGAGCAGCAGGCCGGAGAGTCCCCGCGGGCCGTGAGTGCGCAGGTATGCCTGTACCCAGCTCGGAGGGGTCTGTCGCAGGGGAATCTCGGGCTTGAGGCAGCAAACGAGTCGGAGGACGAAGGTGGCTGGGCCTGGCATTGGGGCCGGGGCTGAGTGCCTGGGGTGGAGAGGGAAAGAAGGCACTGGGTTGAGAGCCTTGGGAGGGCACCCCATAGTCTCCAGGGGCCCTTTCCTTCCCAGGGGCTAGGCAGCGGGCTGGGGGAGGCATGGCGCTTGCGGAGGTACCACTGCCTTGCTCCCACCAGGGGGCAGCACTTCCCTGGGCAGGTTTCCATTAACCCTGCGTGAGCTGGGGGTGAGGGGCAAAGACTGCTCTGTTGGGGGGCAGGATCCCTGGGGCTGGCAGAGGAGGGACCTGCCTTGTCAGGCCCCTCCAAGGATTCAGAGGAGGCCTGGCAGGAACCTGCGCCCTCCAAGGGCAGGGACCAGAGCTGGTGGGAACCACCCCTGCCCTAGGGAGAGCTGGGGGGAAGGGGGTAGCCCAGGCCCAGCAGGCTCCAGCTGGATGTGGCAGCCCCTGCAAGAAGCATGTTACCCACCCTCTATATAGGCACAGGTAGAGGCAGCCAGGTGCATGCCCTCCAGCTACCTTGGCCTGGGGCGGTGGGCACCATGTGCCAGTGTTCCCCCACTGACGCTTGCTGGCCTCTCTCGGACTCAGCTCAGCGTGGTGCTTCGCCCTGGGATTGCTGCTCTGGGCCCTGCTCCAGCCCAGGTAGGTGACACAGCCCAGACCATGCTGGTGGCCTGGTAGGGCTCAGGGCTTGGGTCTGTGGTCCGAGTGCTGGTCCCAAGCCCCCGGATGGCTGGGAGTGGTGGGAGGCAGTGAGGCCTGGATCCCTCCTCTCCCCAGACCTGGGTGGCAGGGGCCATCTCCCAGGAGCTCTGTCTTTTATGCAGTGAGGCTGGGCTGCAGCCAGGGCCTGGGGCCTGCCACGGCTGAGGGCCTGGGCTGCGACCTCCCTGGGCACTGGCTGCCTGGGGTGCAGGGGGCATTGGGAGCAGCCTTTCCCCTGCACCAGCCCAGCCCTCTGCTCCCTTGTCGACATTGGTCTGCGGGACCCCCGGTGCTCAGCTAGGGCCCTGCCAGCAGCATCTGGGGTGGGAATGTGGCAAAGGCAGCAGAGGTGCTGTGCCCCATTTCAGGGTCTCTGTGCGGGTCCTGAGTGCCTGGCACTGATAGGTGCTGGGCTAGGGGTGAATGTCCAGCTGGTGGGGGCACAGGAACTTTTTGCCTCCCCTTGTCCACCATGCCCCTGTGTCCCGGCCAAGCCAGCAGTGTGGGCTCTGGGGGGGGGGTACCCACCTCCCCCCATGCTCACTGGGGTTGGGCAGCTGTAGCCCCTGACCTGTGGCACATCTGGAGTGGATCTGCTCTGCTGAGCCCTGTCTGCAGAGCTGGGCCTGGGCATTGCCTTCCTCCTGGGGGCTGAGGGAGAAGGGGCTCCCTGTGCCCCTGTAGCAGGGGACGGCTTGGTGCCAAGTCCAGGTTTTGTGCTTCCTCCAGGGGTGGCTGGCTGCTTCCCAGCAGCTGGCACCTCCCTGGGCTGGCACCAGAGGTATGCGTGTGCCCGGGGTGCCCTTCACCCTGGGCTGGCACCGGAGGTGTGCGTGTGCCTGGTGCTAGCTTGGCCTTGGCAGCTGCCACCAGAGATCTCTGTGTCAGGAGCCACGAGTGTTGCCGCACCCTAGCATGGTCCGATCCCCACACCCATTGTCACTAGCAAGCTCCCAGGGCGGATCTACAGCCTGGCTGGGTCCCTTGATGGCAGCCTGGCCCTCTGCACTGGCCAAGACAGGTGAGTGCAGTGGGGCGTGGGCGTGCGCAGGCTGGTGGGAGCCCGGGCAGGTCTTGGAGTGGGTGAGCTCAACTTGGGGGGCAGCGGGTTACGTATGCCGATAGACGTTGCCCCCTCCACCCTCCCCCAAAGGGCCAGGTGCTGAAGGCTTGGACATATGTACAGTCCTTAGTGCTGCTACTTTGGTGCAGAGCAAGCACTTGCCCCCTTGTGCCAGGCTGGGTGGGGGTCATGGAGCCCCAAAGCTGTGGGGCTGGCTGGGCTGCTGAGGTCCAGGCGGGACTGTTTAGCATGGTGGTGCTTGCTCTGTTTGCCTGCTGCAACATCTTGCACCAAGCATCTGATATGGGGCACCCCCGCTGGGGGCAGAACAAGAGGGTGTGGGGCCAGTCCCAGCACTGGGTGCAGGGCAGCGTTGGGATGGCTTGTGGGGGTGGGAGGGGATCGGTGGGTCCTGACTGGCAGGGGCATCCTGGATGTGCCCGGAGCAGCCCGGTGCTGCATGGAGCCCAGCACCACAGTTCCCTTCCGTTCCTGGGGTAGCCTTGGTGTGGCCTTGCGTTTGCTGGCTCTGTGGCGATGCTTTCCCAGGGAGCTGTGCTTGGCCCGGGCCATCAGCAAGTGGAGATGCCCGGCCCAGGAAGGGCCAGCAGCACCCTGGAGCATGCTAGCTGGAGTCCGCGGTGCCTGGACCCTGAGCAGCCCCTGGAGAATTGCGCTCCCTGCCCAGTGCCCCCCTGGCCATGGGACCTACCTATACCCAGGGCAGGCTCTAGGGGCATGGCCCAGGCCCCTTAATGCTGGGGCAGGAGCGATCAGGTCTCCACTCCCAGCCCTGCTGCCAATAGTCCAGCTCACAGCACTGTCCTAGCCTTGCCTTTGATTGCTCCCAGGATCGGGTGGGGGTGACCGAGGGTGGAAGTCACAGTTTTGGGTGTTGCATCCTGCTCCCGTGCCATGTTTTCTTGGCTTCACACCTGGGAGCCCCAGAAAAGGGGCCGTCGAGCCTGTGGGTTGTGGAGCAGAGGGAAGAGCCACAGCAATGCTCTTGGGGCTGGGTGCGAGCCTGTGAAGCTGTCTAGCTCCTGGGAGCGGCTCCCCTTGTATTTTCAGGGGTGGAGGTCTGGGTGCAGCAGCTTGGGTGCTCCCCAGGCTCCTGCTAGCAGCATGTCCATGGGGCTCTGGCATCCCAGCCCCGATTGCTTTGATGGCATGTGTTCCCCCAGGCCTCATGCAGCTGGTTGCAGTGACATGGGCTATCACTGGGTTTGAGTTGATGCCTGCCCTGAGCCGTGGACTGGCTTCCCCACTTCCCCACATCCCTGTGCTGTGGTCAGAGCATGGGCCTCTAGGCAGCCCATGTTGCAAGGCCTGATCCAGCCCAGGGTCTCTTGCCCCGTGGCACATGTCCCAGCTGGCCCTCGGTCCCCAGCTGTCCGCGATGCAAGCCATACCCCCCCCCC